AAATAAGATGAGCCAATTCAGTAAGACAAAACTAGGCTTTTATTTACATCCATAATTTTAGAGCAGAGCTTTAAGAAAACAAAACAAAACCAGAAGAACAAAACATCTCCAAACTATAATACATGTGTACTAGAAGCTTTTGTACAGACTAATATCGTTACAACAGGGGTTGTCAACTCGGGGTACACTCCACGTCCAGCCACCGCCTCCATAAGGGGTACACTCCTTAAAAAAAGGTTGAAAACCCCTGTGTTACAAGATTGAAGTCTAAACATTTAATCATGGGTGGATCTTGAAAAGAAAAGTACAATAAACCAACCTATTGTTCTAGAGTGTGGCTGTGATCTTGCCCTTGTTTAGGGCTCTAATCCAGAGCACTTGCAAAAAAAAAAATAATAATAATAAAAAATTCCACTCCCTTGTCAGGGAATTGAGGAATCACAACAAAAACTCTACTGGGACCATTGTGTCTTGGATACTGGTTGAAGCTACAGCACACTGTGGAGGATTGTTTCCACTCAAGGGAGACTGCGCTAAAGCCCTCTCAGCATGAACAAAATCAAGAAAAAACATTTGATAAGCTGGGACAGGAGCCTTTCCACCGCTGAAACTGGCTCTCTGAAGTAGCTAAAGTGAGATGCACTGATAGAAATCAGTTGCAGCAGCCCTAGCTAAGCACTTTCTGTAGTACATGGAAGGTGGGCCAAAGCTGTAAATACAGTCCCAGATTGAATGTGTGGGCAGGAATAAAATGTATTTGGTTTAGTCCTGGCCGCTCTGGGCTGAGAGCATGCAAAGAAAATATGGCCACTGAAAATGAGCCAAGTATTTTTTAGATTAAGCCAGGAAAAAAAAAACAACAAACCCTGTGAGAAAGTCATGCCAATTGCCAGAATCAAGCTAACAAAAGCAAGGGAATTTGGATTTAAGGCTAAAAATCTAATCTGGTACTCTGGGCTGGGATTTTAAGAGCCACAACACAAAACTCACAGCCCATGGAGAAGTGTGTAGGGATGAGATTATGTGAACATTGAGCCCTCCTGGTCCTGGCTGCTTGGGGGTGGGGGAAGGAGGCTTACAGAGTCTCAGGAGCCTGCTTATGTTAAAGTACCTTCCCAAGCCACTGTGCTGCATGATGTGCCCCCTACTTCTGTCTTCAGTGCTTCCAGGAGGTGTTGCTACCCTAGTTCCTGCACCAGAAGAATCCTCTCCAGACAGACCGGAGCTTCTTAAACTCCTTCACCCTACTCTGGCCATTTTACCTGACGTATGCCATATTCCTTGTGCATGCAGGATCCACTACCAGTAATGGATCTAATTTTACCATTATGTTTTTCTATTGTTACAGTTGTGTAACTCCCTGATCTATTAAGCACGTACATGAAATGCTCCTGGTTGCTCTGAACTTGTATTCAAATCTTCAAGTTTCAGGACTGTTTATTCATTCTGCATTGGAGGGGCATTAGATAAATTGCGTGCGCAGTCTTGATTCAAAACACTGGAACCCCAAACTCTCTGCTTCCAGGGGACTGCATTTGTCTCTAAGCTACACATCATGCTTCCTCTTTCTCTAACCCTCTGACTCTTGTATTCTTGGCTGCACCGTGGCACTGATTCAACAGCAGGGTGGAGAGTATTCCCACCCAACCGTAGCCTGGAAGTTAGAGTACTCTCCTGGGAGTTGAGAGATATTGATTTGCACCCAGTCAGGCTGAGGAGGGCCCAGAACCCAGATCTCCCACTTGAACTGTTATACAAAAGATGAGCAAAACCAGTTCCTCCCCCTTTGGCTGTGTTTTTGAATGAAAATGGCCCCCAACTGCTGTGCTTTGTGCTGAGCTCAGTATTGTCAGTGTGTATTGGGCATGCTCAGGGCACACATATTGGACTGGGTTGACCACTGGTCTGTGAATCCCAAATAGATGTAGATGGGACATGAGTTAATTAGTTTGGGTGCAGTACTGTGCTAACACAGCTATAGCATCCTTGGCTCCAGAGCTTGCACATGGAGAGCTTCCATGGATACCTCTGCATGAGTGCTGTCTTGTACTGCTTAGAAATCCCCTTAGTGCCTCTTTGGGACCAGGCCCTGGGATGTTAGCTTGGACCCTGAAAACTATGCAGGCTGTAGAGAATTAAGGTCCTTCTATGTGGCAGTCTTAGGTCTGAGTACATCAGGCAAAAAAGTATGAGGTGTCCAATTTTATTCCCCAATTTTCACTTAAAACTAAGCAAATGCTTCTGATTCAGCGCAATGAGATAAGAATTTGGCTTCTTCACTTTGAGGAACAAAATGTCTGTAATTTGGACACTACAAAAGAAACCAGAATTTCTAAATTTGATATAAGAAAATCAGTCTTTAATCCAAGCGTCTACCTTAAAAATTACCAAACCATTTTCCCTCTGAAAATCTCATGGAAGGAAAAATAGACACCTCTAATTGTTTCTGCAATGTATTTCTTTTCAGCAAGTTCAGGCTGGAACAAATTTTTACGGTTAAGCTAAAAATAGGGACTGGTGAGCAATGTGGAAAGGAAGTGTTTTGAATCTTGCAAAGATTATTTTGGGCTTTGCAGATTCTTAAAACCAGGTCTGATTTGCAAGCTTTATTCTCCTGCACATTAAACAGAAACTTTTTCTGCAGTAGTGATTTATTTTCAAACGTTTATTTTTCTTAGTTGGGGGAAGCTAGAGGAATATAGAAATAGTCCCAAAATGTAGTTTGGCACAACTAGGTTCCCTGTGCAGGGAATTAACACTGCATGTCTACTTTCTTGAGGACTGTATTCAGTGAATTTTTATTCACTGTTTCTTTTTTTTGCACTGTTCTTATTGAGTTGTTACTTTAATTTTAACATTGGATTTTTTTTCTGCTTCTTTTGCTCCTAACCAGCAGTTGAAACCAAGGGTGTTTAAATCAAGCTATCCAATCCCTGTAATGGAGAGTTTTCAAATATAGGCAAAGGGGATTCAATCACCACATCTCAAAAATCTTTGGCAGCATTTCTATATCAAAAGTGTTACTCTTCCTATAGGCAGGCACTATTATAATGTTGGTTCTCTGGCACCGTGCAGCTGAAAAGCAAAGGTAGAGCTTTCCTTTTTTTTCAAGACATAAGGCACTTAAATCCAAATGGCTTTCTTAAACCCACATACTATTAAAGGTACTTTTCAAAAACAGCTGCTTTCTAAAAAGGCATAGTTTGCAGAGTCTAGGCAATGTTTATACACACAAAGGTAAATTTTCATTCCATATTACATGGCAAATATTCTATAATTCCTCCTCAATAAGAGCAAAAAACAAATGAATCTAAAGCCTCTAAATGTTGCATAAAATGTAAAATATATTTGTACCAGAACATCTTAACATTGACGCTTCCAGAAACCCTGTCATATGCATGGGGAAGTACATCAGCAACAGGACCTTCGAACAGGCAAGTTAATGAAAGCAAAAGAACAATCTGAACATCATTATACAACTTTACTAAAGTTTCCCCTGTCTCTCCTTATCCTGAATAGTGAAAGCAATTTGTTCTCAACAGCAGAAATATGCTCTGGGTATATGCTGCTTCCCATCTGCCACAGTAAGAGCTAGAAAGAAATTGAGGGTGGGTTCACAAACAGTTTGCACACAGTAACAAAAGTTTCCCCTGGAAAGACTGATTCATGTTCTTTTTCTGAATTATAAAATGTTCAAGTCTCATTTGCAAATTCCCAGTGATGGTAAAGGAATTTACCCACCTAGTAGAACAAACATTGCACTCTTGCTGTATCACATCTCAGTTATATATCAAAAACTTCTTGCTGCTTTAAGCATTCTCAGTCCCTTTATAATCACATTGGGCTCTCATCCTCAAAACACCATTTCACAATACTTGCTTCACTTAAGTGAATGTGATTTTTGCCTTTGACTTCAGTGGAGAAATGAGTTCACCTTAGCTACTTCAGGTTCCAACACTTTATTTCCTACATCAGAAAGCTAATCACCACCTTGGTCTATCCAAAAGGCCTATATATTTTTTATCTAATTCTAAGATAAGACATCTAATTCAACCTAATTTCTTGCAACCAGAACAGTAAAGGCCACGAACAGCTTAATAAGGTAAAATAATAGCTCTTGACTTCAGCTATTGAATAGAGTAATTTCTCCCCAGGGTCCAATCTAACCCAAAACAACTCCCATAACTGCTGGCTCAGTGAAACACCCCAAGTCTCCTGGGTTTCACAGCTATGGATGCTGATTACAATTGTGAGAGGGAAACAGTTACTCTCTAGCAGCTATAGAACAGCTAATTAGAAGCTGCCCATAGTACTCTAACCAAGAGTGGAGCCTCTCTCTGTGGTCAGCTCCTTTACTAGGTGGTAATCAGTAGGGGTGTGCAAAGTGGGCCCTATTCAATTCGGATTCAGATTTGGGCCGAATCAGGGACAGTGATTCGATCCGTTGATTCAGATCACTGTCCCTGATTCAATTAATCTGAATCAGAATCTGAATATTCAATGCTGATTCACAGAATCAGGGATTCAGCCATAGACACAGCTTTAAATTCTTTTCTACATACCTTGAGGTACCAGACATGGCTCGTGTGGGGGGGGGCCCTCCATGTGCTTGGCAGCGAACCCAGAAGTGGACCGAAAGTACTTCCAGTCCACTTCCGGGTCTGCTCGGGAGCGCATTGGGGGCCCTCAGTACTCCCCCTGGCTCAGTGATCTGGGTGTAGGGGGACCCCAGGTGCCCCCCCAGACCCAGGAGGCACCAGTTGCCAAGCTAGAGGGGTGCGGGGGGGTCCCCAGACCCAGAAGTGGACCGAAAGTGCTTCTTGTCTGCTTCTGGGTCTGCTGCCGAGGGCACTGGGGAGTGCCCCGCATTTCTGTGGGACACTCCATGCGCCCCAGCATTACAGCATTCACTAGCCCCTGCTACCTAGAGGTATGTAGAAAAAAACATTTAACGCTGTCTCTATGTCTGAATCTCTGAATCTTTCCGAATCGATCTGGAGGGTTCCAATTCGATTTGGAGAAATTAAAGGGTCTCCTGATTCGATTCAGATTCGAAGATTTGGCCACCGAATCAGGCCAAATCTCCACTGAATTGAATCATAGACTGAAGCTTCTCACAGCGCTAGTAATCAGGCCCTGGTAATGATCTCTTTGGGAGATGAATCAGCATGCTCAAAGCTACTTAATGCAAGGACAAGTTTATATTACTCTTATATTACATACAGAAGATATCCCTGAGATGTGACAAAGCTCCCTAGAGCCTGTGGGAATTCAAAATTCTCCCTGACACTGTGGAAAGGATTTTTAAAGGATTTTAATATGAAGACTGTTAATGTAAGGTAACGCACCACCCTTCTCTCCTTTAAGCAAACTATTCTTTTTAAGATCATCAGAAAATATGGGGGAAGTCAATCAATCAGAATGGGTTAACACTCTTCTTAACCTTCTCACACTCAATATTCAACCTTCTCACACTCCTCTATACCTTCAATACGTTAATGAACAACTCCATGTAAGGACAATTTTCAATTATGCCTCTTTTTTTCAGTGCTGTTTGAGTAAATGGGACACCATAGGGATGTTCTTTGTTCATTTTGCTGAAGTAAACCAGTCTCATCATGCCTGCCCACTTCTCATGTGTGCACCAATGTAACTCAGGACCTCATCTGTCATACCAAATGTAAAGTCACTGAGGTGATACTAATAAAAACACTTGATTCTATGAGGTGCTGAGCTACCTCAACTGCCATACACTTCAACAGGAATCAGAAATAATCAGTGTCTACCTGGACTGAGCTCTAAGTGAGATGAGAAAAAGATCTCTTATTTAATATCTAGTAATGAGAAGTTACCCCTTTTGGGACTAGAATGTTGAGTTCTTTTCTAGTTTAAAAATACTTGGAAGGCCTACAAAATGCTTGTTAAGGATGCAACCATCACACAGCATTTCATTTTGGTCGGTGCTAGACTTTTCAACCAAGAAAATAGACAGATGGGTCATTGGTACCATAAAAACAACTAGCTTGCTAACTGGCATCATAATATTGATGCCATCCTATTTCTTTTCCTCTCAATTTAAAATCAAATTTATTTTTGGAAGCTTAATTTACAATATTTTTAGCAAGTATATGTCTGGTTACAGTATAGAAATTATAGATTTCATAGATTTCATAGACATTATGGCTGGAAGGTACCTCAGGAGATCATTGAGTCCAGCCCACCTACCCCAAAGGCAGGAAGTCAGCTGGGATCAAAGGATCCCAGCAAGATAAGCGTCCAAATGCCTCTTAAAGGAATCCAAAGAAGGTGTCTGCACCACCTCTAGAGGGAGCCTATTCCAGGCTGTGGGGGCTCGGACAGTAAAGACATTTTTCCTTATGTGCAACCTAAAATGGTCTTGGAGGAGTTTGTGACCATTGGTTCTTGTCATCCCTTGGGGCACTCTGGTGAACAGGCATTCCCCCAGGTCCCAATGCACAACCCTGATGTACTCATAGGCTGCCAACAGGTCACCCTTGAGCCTGAGCTTTTCCACGCTGAAAAGTCCCATGGCTCTCAGCCTCTCTTCATAAGGCTTATTTTCTCCTTATACGTTCTCCTTTCTAATTAATCTGTTAAATAAATATACAAATATATCAAGAGTGCTCTGAAAAAAAGCCTAACCTATCTAATAATAAAAAATCATCCCAGTACAAACACTTGTTATATTACATGCACAAAATGATAATCAAGGCTTGAAACTATAATGCAAATTAATTAATTGCACATATGTCACATGACATGATTTAGAAAGAATCATTGTAGCAGTATAAAAGAAGGCCATTGCTTTTGCATAAGAATTTAGGCATTACCTTATCTAAAGAACTCAGAAGGTGACAACCAGTATTGTCTATGCAATAACTACTGAATGTAAAATGGAGTAATCAACAGAAGACATGGCAGATACTCCACCCAACATCTACTTGGGTTGTAACATACCAAAGCCTGAACTTAGAAAGAACTATGCTTCGAGACAATGAGAGAACTACCCCCTTTCAGTAGTGGCCTGTTGAATTGGGGGTGAATAGGTCTTTTCCTGGGGCTCTGCACTCCAGTGAGTTATAGCCACTATGCCAGTTTAACTGTATCCTTCAAGAGATCATGCTGATTTAGAATTACTAATGGAAAGACTGTTTCAAAATACTATTGGAATGAAAAAAAAATCAATGCATGAAATAAACAGAAACATACAGCATATCTCAGTGATATAAGGGGTTATGAGAAGTGATGAGAAGACTGACCAAATCTGGTCCAAAAATGGACTAAATTTACTGATCATGTCAACAGCTGTAACTCCACTGACCTCAATGTGGTTGCACATATTCAGCCTATGAGCATCAACATATGGCAGTGTACAGATGATACATATCACTACACATGGAATCAGTACATGGCCTATGCACCACACAAGCCCTGCCCATGAGACTTAAGCAAGATTTGTGCTGGCCACTCTGTGTGGGGGTAAGTTTAACCCTTGCTGATATACCTAAGAATAGGAAGAAGGGTGCAGTATGTCATAAGCAAACATTTAGAGAATGGTTTGCAATAAAAAAAAAAAAAATCACAGCCACAGTAATTTGGCAGGTTGTGGTGCCAATAAAGCTTATTACCATAGTCAGAGCCAATATCCAAATTGTCTAATAATATCTTTACTGACAAAAGTTTCTTTAGAAAAAGAAATAGGACTATAGCTGAGCACTTTTAAGTGAAATAAGAGAGTTATAGCCAGTCAAAGCATAAAAATCCTAATTGGTTTTGTACCTGATGGTTGTTTTTGATTAATATTACTTTTGAGCACAATTCAGGAGCCATTCACTCCTTATATTTTTTTTCCTTGACAATGGTGGTGGGCACTGGCTATTAGTGGCAGTTGGACTGCACTGACTGTGTATTTGCACAAAGAGACATACTGTACTGCATGGCATCTTAGTTTAAAACAAATACTTTACATAAATGGACATACAAAGGGGAAAAAAAAAAAACATGTGGCAATGCAGCTGCAGCTATTCTATGTTGTTAGAGTTGTCTGCTTTCAGTTCCTTTGATCTTTTGGAGATTTCCAACTTCTTGTTCCAACAAGTGAACAATATTTCTTTTGGCATTTTTAATAAGCAGAATTAAAAAAAAAAGATGGATGAAGTGGAATTCAGAGTAGAAAAGAACATCACATAAATTTAATTTGGCTTTTAAAAATATCAGCAAGATGGTGCAACATGCAATAATTATGCCAAAAAACAAGCTGTGTGTTAGACTCAGCGCCTCAAAATAAAAACTGTGAACAGGGAAAAATACAGCCCTATTGCACAGGAAACAAAACACTGCCCATTTTCTTTGATCATTTCCTATTGCTGAATTTCTAAATGGGTGTTTCAGCTGGGGTTGCTGCATTTATTTATCATCCTAACAAACAAAGCGCATTAAAAAAACATACTGAAACTATGATCAATGGGGAAGAGCAATACAGCTTCAAAACTGAAGAAACTCCATAGATCGTTAAGATAAAAAAGTACAGAAGTTTATTATGTATCAACTCAAGTTTTCATGTCTTCATTTCCACCCCCACTTCCTAATAAGAATGATTGGCATTGCCTGTCCATGGATTTTTAGAAATGAAGAGATAAATAAGCTTTGGGGTCCTCTCATTACATATCATAAAATGCCACAGTTTCCCCCAAGCAACAGCAACTCCGGAATTCACCGACCAAACTTTTCAGGGCCACGAGGCAATTTTGAAGGATTCTAATGTTACAGAATCCTTTATAGGCCTTTTCCTTTAACCTTTTTTTCTCTAGATATTTCTTCCTCACTTATGCTTCTACCATGATAAATGTAATACCATAAATGCCTCTAAGTTGAAGTGACTACATATTTCCGTAGCTTCACTCAGTGAAGGTATTACAACTGGGGAAAACATCATATAAACTTCCATCCCTCATAACACACAACAGAAGATGAACATCCTCCTGGTAGGAACTGGAATCTGCAAGATTTATGCATGGCTCAGGGGCTTAGTTAAGAAAGCAATGTCAATTTTATAACTTGGACATGATTTTTTAAAATGTAAAAAGAAGCAGGAAATTTATGCTTAATTATGCTCAAAAGAGATCAGTAGCACAGTGCATCTGTGGGTTCCAGTCCCAGTTCCATAAGAATTTGACTTCCCCAACTCTTGATCTATAAGATGGCCCACCATTATTACACCCCAGTCTTCATGTCAGCCTCTTGATTTTGTGTTTCGTCAGAGGTCAGGAATTCATCATATTGTCCCGTTCGGTCATTTGACTGTTCTTTATGCACCAAATGCACCATTTCTTGAGACTTGCTGGCTTCTCCATTCAGTCCACCTATCTTCTTGTCCTCCACTGCCCCTTTGCCATTGTTAATCACTAGTTTCTTCTTCTGTCCACATCTAGCAAAAAAATAAAGACAAATAGAGATTATGGTATTAGGAAGTACAAAACACTGACTGCATATTTTTGGAAAGTGTTTACAGGAAGCAAAGAACTTGAATCTGCCAATGGAGACATATGCAATGCAGTAGGTAAGGCTGCGAAAGGTAAAGGTTTCTCAGGGGCGAGTTATAAAGGCTCTTATCATTGCCCTTTTTCTCCTTATATGAACTTAAATGGAAGCCCAGCGCTTTCAAGCATATCATCCTTCATGTATAGCTAATTTATTACTAGAGAGAGAGAGATGGAACTAAACAAAATCTGGCCCTCGGCTTGAATTCCTAAAATTCTTAAACTTTCAAAACGTCTGTAAATTTGGGTTAAGGCCCATCTCTAGTAATCCAAGAGGACTGCTTAATTTTTCTGTCTAGTCTGCCAGGACTGAACCAAGTGAACAACTTAGGGTTATAACTCTACTGTCAACATTCAGATCATTAAAACAGTATAAGATGGAAAATAATTGTGCTGTGGTGGTACAGTAATAAAGCTATCTATGCAGATCTATTACCAGTCTAGGATGCCCCATCACACTAATTCAGCTTTTTGGCTCTGTTGCATTGAGGAGGTGACCTTCCACCTCTGTACAGCCAAATATAGATCATTAAAATGGACAAAGAATATTCCTTAAATAGCTACTGTGTTTGTGCAGATGTACTTTAAAATGTTTCCTGCTTTGCTTAAGCAAATTCTGTCTGAATTACTAATTTGGCAGTTAAATAGTTTTGCTACTATCCCTTGGAATCAAGCATATTTTGTGTTAGCAGACTGACATATGACAGCTGTTTTAGCCAAAGTGACCGCCAGTAAAGCTGCCTTGTCTCAATCCACCATGTTTACTTCATGTAGCATAATGGAACAAATCTTGTCCTGATTTACACAAAAGAACAAGAGCGAGAATACTGTACAGTAAGTAATTCACACAGCTTAGAAGACAGAACAGAACTTCTCTGCAACACAGTTCCCAAACTGTGCTGTGTTTTTCCAGAATTGTGAGGGGAAGGTCTTAAAAAGATGAACATTTTGCAAGAAGCTATGTAGATTGGAAGGCAGATTTCTCACGTTATGAAAAAAATCCTTGTGGAGTGCTGAAAGTCATGCAGGGCCATGGCCTACAGATTTTTAAACATATAACTCAATCAAGAACTGGGAAAAAAGGAAAAACTGAAGTAATACAACCAAGCTATTTGGCACCCACCAAAAAGATTACATTGTTTGGTTGGGATTTCTAGACCGTCTTGTAGTACACTGGCCTTACAACTAGAAAGACTAAGCCTACTGAGCACAGACTCAAAGATTTAAATGTCATACTACCAGATTAAAGATTTCTCATGAAAACTGGATTCGGTAGGGCCTGGATTCCCAGGCCCATTCTACCTGGCTCATACAAGAGGAGAACTGGAAAATTGTATGCTTGGTTTATTTAAAAAGTCATGCCACTGTTGGGAAACCTCACAACCTAACTAGCCACTTATGGGTGAAATCCTTCTTAATTCTACATATATCTAGAATTCCACACACATACATATATGTGTGCGTGTACACATTTTGCTTACAGCACCCTCAGTTTACTTATTTTGTTTCTTATCAACAATCTAACAACAAAGCTGCTGTGATGAAGTCATAAATGATTAGTTTAATGAAACTAAGATTCCACAACATATATCCTCTGGCACATATAATATAATAAATTCTCTGGTATGTTAATGATGCAGCATGAATTGCACTAAATAGTTAAAAATCAACTGGCACTTCTCAAAGCAGATGAGCAAAAATTAATTCTTGATTTAACAACCCACTTTCTCCAGTACCTGTACTTGTTCTCTTGGGGCCTGAGTGGCAACAGAGTAGAACACGATCAGGCCTCTAACTTCTCACTTCATAAAATTCTCCTTCCAGTCATTAGTACATACTAGGGTCTAATTCACATGTACCTAGGCACAGGCACAGATATAACCCAATGCTGTATGTGTCATTTAACTCCAGTCAAAAATATGTTTTCAATTAACAAGATGTAATCCATAATTTATAGCTTCCAGATTGCTTCATTTCTGGTCAGTCACTATCTGCATTTAATCATAACTGGTTCTGTTTGTCTGTTTCTATGGTGATCTGGGAGCAAAAAAAGCAGGCTTGACTTTAATAAACATAGCAAAGTGACAAATGAATCAATAAACCATAACGTTCACACTAATTCCCGGATCACTTAACAAGAGGGATGTAATTCATATTTTAGAGAATGACAGTTAACATGAATATAGTCATATGGACAGGAGCTGGTGGAAATCAGGATATCTTTGTTTATCTCGGTATATCAGCTGAGGCTCTGGCCCTTGGACTGCAGCCTCCATTCATCCATTTTGGATACTGATATGCCAGAAAAGCCTGCTATAGAGAAGGAAGATTCTTTCCCTCAACTTTAATTTCCACTAGTCTCCTACAGGTGAAGTCACGTGCCAATGGCCTTCCTGATCTTATCACCTGTCCATTAAATAGATCACCCTTTTGGGGGCATACTAGCCCCCCTGTTAGAGACGAGGTAATATCTTTCCAGCAACTATAAAGCTCAGTATAAACTAGGGTTTATACCTCAGGGTTTGCCCTGGATGTCAGCTCTGCTTGTTACATCACTACCTAGCTCTTTCACAGACTTCCTTCACCTTTCTCAGTTTCACCAGGTCTGAAGCCTCACAGTGTTGTTACAAAGATATTTGGATTAATGTTTATAAAGCAGCTTGAGATCCTCATACAGAACATGGTGCAGAAAGGGAAGCTTCAGCAACAATGATTTTTGTTGACACTGTCAAACAATTTCTAGAGTATTAAAACTTTCCTCTTCATTTTTCTTTCCACCAATCTTAAATCAAAGGTCAAAACTGCAGCTCACTTCAGCCAAAGCCAAAAATACCCTCCTCTTCTTCCTCCCCTTAATCTTTTACTCAGTTCTATACATCAACTCAAAGTCTTTCCCACCATCTCTCATGGGCTTCACAGTAGGCTCCTTTTATAGTCTGCAGAAAGGGATGGTGACCTGATTCTCCACAGCTGATCCTCACAGTCCTGCTGCTTGCAGGTCCCTCCCTACATTACTGACAACTGTGATCCTTCCTCTATCTAGAGGGAGCAGGTGAATCTTATCTCTGCATCCTTCTGGATGGAAACTATAGAGAGACTACCACAAATAGTAGTTGTACTCTTTTAGGTAATATACTACCACATGGTGGAATGTTACTTAATTAATCTGGTGGCTACCTTGTCAGTGTTTCTGCCCATCTCTGTGTAACATATTTCATTGAGCTCAGAGGGAACAGCAGCAGGCCATTAGCATATAATAGGTAGAGACAGGTTTTTCCTTCTCTCCATGTGCAACTTCATTTTTTGTCAGTGAGCAAATGAAGACCTGAGGACCCACTCACTAATTTCATGTGGCTTCTCATGAGTATCCAGGTTCACCTACACAGAGCTCAAGGCAGAACTGGGGCATCAGATAAAAACTGTTTATCCAAAAAAGAAGGGATACACTATTTACTGAGGATCATTATGGTAGGAGTTTTTCTCTGTTGTACAGCCACAGTATGTATGTTATGAAGCTCCCAGGAATCCTCAGATTCACAGCAGTAAAGGCAGGAAAGCAATATGTTCCAAAGCAATGATGACCAAAGATACAAAGGGACTTCCTTACCTTCTCCGACTGTTGACAGCAATGCAGACTGCAAGAATCAATATCAGAGCCACAAGAGCAGCAACTATGATCAGCCATTCTGTGGGTAGAATTGAGGAATAATATGGCCACTTTAATTTAGCCTTAACTTTTTTGTTTTGCATGATGGTACTTTTACATTCATTCACACTTCTCCCAATGACAGATCTTTTCTAATATAAAAAAATGAAAGGGTATAGACAGACCTAGCAATTACACTCGTATCAAATGACATTAGTAAAACATGCTATGATGCACCTGTTACATATCCATGCTCCTATAGAGATACAAGTGTACTAAAAGTGTTGTAACTCTATCCCTATTCATTCAGGGTTAAACTTATAGTGATTTAACTCCAGTGTGTCCCTTTAGGAGCATCCAGACATAACAGTTTCATTGAAACAGCTGCAAATGCTGCCTAGCAAGAACTTTTCCTCTCCTTTTAAAGCAGTTGCATCTGTCCAGAGCTTTAGTTTGTTTTCAAAACTACCTGTCATGTGCTCCCATGCGAAGTACTGTGATTTTAAATATTTTTATGGAAGCACTTGAATTTTCATTATTTTGTGCATGATATAATGGGGATACTGTAGTCAAGCAATAGTTCCTAGAGTCCTATTTTCACTATTGCAAATGTCCCATGTGTTCCAATACATGTTTGTTAAAGTTTAGGAAAGATGGCAATCGAAAATAATCACACATTGGCAGTAATAAATAAATATTATACATTTCTGTAATAAATATTTCAGTCCCTTATTTTTATTATTCTGTGCTCAGGATCTCAAAGACAATGACTTCAGAAACCAACCTGGTATCTTTGCTGATCTTGGTTGTGAAATTATTACTGTTGTTGTGGTCTGTCCGGGAAAAGAAGTTGTATCCGTATCTCCTATGTGTGATCCTCTGCGGCCAAATCTATTAGATGTAGAGCCTAGAAAAAAATCCATCTATTATGCACAACAAATTAGAAATACATTGAATAACTAAGCACTGACTTGTCCATTTAGAATTAAATATGCATAACTACAAAGCTCAGGTATGTTTTTGGAAAGAAGGAATTTAAACTGCAAAATGTGTGCTAAAGTAATATAAAAAAACATTATGCAGACCCTACCTCATAAAAGTACTTTCCCATTTGGTTCAAGTAAGAGTAGCTTTGGTTCTATGAACCACATGATTAAGTTTCTCCATGACATTCACTGACATGTTTTTGGTAGATTTCATTTTTGATCATTCTATACTGTAATGGCTTAAATGCAATGAGAGATGGTTTTAAAATTTTCAAGAAAAATGAAAAAATGAATTGATAAATTTGTTGCCAGGAAGATTTCTGAGGTCCAAAGTGGAATGTCTGGTCAATCCCAAAGAGAAAAAGAAAGACCAAAGGAAACCTTCACTTTTTAGATCTGCAAATGGCCATTTCATCATAAGTCCATTATATAAGGATAGTTTCTTTTTTTGAAGGGTTTTATTTTCTAATGCAGAACAAAATCAAATTTCAAAACCTTAACATTTTTCATGAAACAGATTTTTGCTTTCTGGTCAGCATTAAATGTGATAGCCACTTCATGAACTGGGCTCTTAAACATCAGGATGTGATTCCTAATGGAGATAAGGTTTTCTGTATCCTTGCATGTAAATCTCTCTGTCTTTATGTCACCTAATGTACCCATGGCAACTTTTTTCTGATCTTATCAAAGGTCAGAATTAATGACTCACTGGGACTCAGTCATTAATCAGCTAGGTGGTATACTGTTGAATGAAGTATATATGCTCTTCAGTGAAGCCAGGCAGGCTGCATTTTCAGCAGTTTCAGACTCATCTGTTTGGTGAGCTGGAGAACTGCTGGATGGACCTTGCTTCCAGCTAAAGGTCTGAGGGTGATTTTCATGGTTTCATGAATCAGGCAAATGGCAGTATACTGGCCACCCTATGTGTATAACATGTGCCATATCACCATTTTGAATTGTCCTTGGTTAGCTAAAGCAGCGTGTAAGGGCACAAACAACATGTGGCAATGTGAACTGACCACATGACAGAGACAAGGCCAAAGGATGAGGTTGTGGAGGAGGTGTTCTTTTGTGCAAAACTGGACCATTATCAACTCAGTTTTCTTAGTTTTATGAAAAGTGGTTCTTTCAGACATTACATGACACTATTTGGCTGTTGATATAGTTCAAATCTGCAGAAGTGGCAGGTCTCAGAAGCAAAAGCCCTGAGAGACATATAAAACCATTAGGTTGGGAGGTAGCATTAAGTCTGCAGTCCAGACTTACCCCAAGTCTGTCCTATTTCTCATAAACCAGCACTCAACTGGGCCATGCCACAATCAACTTTATTCTTAATGAAAGTAACATCTCTGGCCTCCTCTATTCTGCAGAGACAGTTAGCCATGTTCATCTGAAGGCAAGTAACAGGCAGGATAGATTTGCACTTTATACACTAACCAAAGTAGATTATATATATAATTATATACATGTGTGCACATATATAGCACACATCCATGTGCTGAAACTCACTTTATCAGATGCTGGAGTTTCAGCCTATGAAAGTTGTGCTATACTGTACATATATCTACTTCAGTTAATCTATAAGGTGTAAATCTACTCTACTGTCCTCTATCTGCATGTTAGTACCAATTCCAGTCAAGATAAAATTTAGCCAATAAAATTATCTTTGTGCCCTATTAAATAGATCATGTCATTCCCTTCTCCTTTCCCAGCCCCCATTTTCAAATCCACCACATGCTTCACTGAAATTTCTTTTCCTTGCTCTTCAAGGTGCTTCATAACTTCTCTGTGGCCAGAATCATTGACCTCACTCCCTAATGATAGCTGCCAAATGCAAAAACTAGGCAGCATATTTTTCTACTGTTGAATTCAGCCACAAAGCAGTTTGAAAATTGTCCAGAAACTCATTGACTGATGCGCTGCTTCATGCTACCCCACAGGAAATTCATAGCTCAACACTGATGGCTGAGCACTGAAATTAGCAGCTGGGAGATTTCATTTAGTCTCCAAAAACACATACATATAATAGTATGTTAACCTTAACAAAGGTTAACATACTATTATATTGGCTTATGTACCACACAGACTTGAAGGGATTTTGTGACGGATACTTGTAATGTTTTCCAGGAGGGAAGGCAACACAATTCTCCATCCATAAAGCCCCGAGGAACTCAATGGTTATTTATTGCTCAGTAAATATTTACCAAAGATTTTGGCTGTACTATTACCAACACTTAAAACATTCACAATGCCCAGGATTAATGGGTCCAAAAGTGGATTTGGGGGTGGGGGTGGTGGTCCTAGAGCTTCTGTGATATTCATCTTATAGCAATGTTTTACTATTCCTTTCTTATGAGACTTTTGCATTTGTATTTTTTCAATGCACTGTTTCACTTTCCTGCTAACGTCTTTTGGGCAAAAGATCAGTCATTTTTATGATGTCAGCTCACAGCTGTACATAACTGTAGAGAAAAAGCAGACAAAAGCAGGCGACACAGATGACTGAGCAAAGAGTTTCCTCAGAATAGACCTTCAAATATGTTCTATTATTATGTGAAGCAATCTTTCTTTTTCATTCAATTCATGATACATAGGACACATCTTGCAAATAAAAGACCCCCCAAGGTAGAAGCCGATTCCCCATGGTAATACACTTGAAACCCACTCTTCTGCTATGATACAACCATTACTAAGAAAAAGATGGACTTATTTTTTCAAGCCTCCCCACCAACTTTTTATAGGGCCTTGTTGACATCATGACATTGACACTGCAAAACAGCTGTTCATCTTGAAAATGACCTCCCCTCTGTCTTTTTACAGGTTGTACACATTCAGAAAAGCAGTTTAATTATATCTTCTACCTAGGGTCTGATATCTGAATAGTACATTAGGAAGTCAGGCAGAACAGGGAACTAGAAAATAAGAGACATGAGTGAGTTACATACTGAATCATTATAAATAGTTAACGAAGTATCATTTATATAATATGTTTATATTAAATTTATATTTATGGTGTCTCTTTTAAAGATCTTGCCCTTTCAAGGTTTATTTTGTTTTTGTTTATTGCATTGCATTGCATGTGGTTTTTTTTTCATTAAAATCTGAATAAGACTGACAACCAGTTCTGATCTTATTTATGCCAAGACAAATTAAGAGTGACCCAAGTCAATGTAGTAACACTTGAGTTAAAACTGTTGTGAAAGGATAATCAAACCCAGTATGTTTAAAGTTTCCCAGCTAGACACCATGGGCCAAAAGGTCGGGCACCACTACTATAGAAGCAATCTACTTCAATCAAGTAGTTGATTGAAGTAGACTGATTCAGGCTCTTTTGAAAATCAAATTAAATAGGAGTTTATTAGAGGCAAATTCTGACTCTCTTTAATTTTAATGTTTTATAGACTCTCTTGTAACAAATTGTTGTGAAGGATGCTGTATGTATACATTTTCATATTCCTTGTTACATGCAAAAAATAACCACAGATTGGCTGTGAATTAGATTCAGTGAGACATGACTCCATTGACTTCCACAAAGTTGACAGCAGAGAATTTGGCTGAGTATATGTGAAAAGAAATAACATTTAGAAAAATCCTAGTCTTTGGGTTGATAATTTATATGGAAAGTACCTTCGGTTCTAAGGGAAAGTCCCTAATTTCCGCCCAAAATATTGTTTTCATGTCGCAACATGGTTGTGTTCATGGATATGATCCATGTATGTCATTATTTTTTCATGTTCTCATGTCCAAAACAAGCTTTTAAAACAGAAGCTGCTGACAGTTGTAAAGCTTGTTACCTCTAAGTATACAGAGAGGGAACTAATTAAAAACAGGTTACCCAACAACAAACATTACAAAGGGAAAAATGTTAGAGTGGACTAGCTTCCTTGATATGCTCACAGTATAAGGATAGAGAAAAAAGAGATAGATGAATGTCATTTTGTTAGTTTTCAAAACAGCTATTGTTTGAAGGTGAATAAAATGAACTGAGTAGAAAGGTAAAATAAGAAAGCACAAAGATGGTATTAGCCTCTCAAAAAAGTATAGTAGCTAATATTTACCATACTGTCTGTGCCACCAAAGGCAGACAAAAGTAATTGTAATCATGTCTTATAATATATGCATTTGTCTGATGTTTTTGAAAAGATGCCTAGAATTGCTGAAAAGAAGAAATGCTACTAAAGTCTTGCCAAAAGAATTCTTAAAAACACTAATTTTAAATCATCTCACTCATAATAAATTAAAGAAGAGCTAACTAAATACTTTCTTGCCATGTACCTTGGTAAGAAGTTATTGTATTGCTAACCAAACCAAACCAAACCAAACCAAACCAAACCATGCTTGCACTGTGTTGAGCACAACTTTCCTCCCAAAATTTGATAAATGTAGGTATACAAGTACGGCCCAAGACAATCAGGAAAAATCAAGGAGTAGGGTAAATGATTGAAAGCTGTTATTCTTACTGGTAGCTGGAGGAGTGGGTTTTCTGCCAGGATCTCTTTCAATTTCAGGAAAAAGATTAGGTATCACAGCAGGCCTTGTATTCTTTGTGGGATATGTGTCTTCCTTATCCCTTCCAGGTGTCAATGGCTCTTGGGTTGAAGCTTCATATTTGGAACCATCAGTGGAATCCACAACTGTTACAATTATGTTTGAAGCAATTTTAAACTTAACATCTAAAGAACTACCACTCACATTTTTTTCCTTCCTTGTTTATAGAACAGACAGATATCTTTCAAATGTTGGTAACATTACAGCAAAACAGGAAAGGTTTTTCCGTTTTCTTTCACATTTGCATTGTTATTTCAACTTTTTAGGCAACACCCTCCTGCTGATTCTCAGGGTACTGGTGTCAGCCAGAAGACAAGTAATAGTTACAATGGACCCAGAAGAATAGCCATCAAAAGAGCAGGAAGCAGTAACCCTGTAGCTCAGGACTGATGACAGATGCTACACATTGGAATGACATCTACAAATAGGGAAATTATTTCCTATATTGATATTTCAGTGATTCATTTAGTAACAGAATTTCCCTGATACTCTTAAGAACTAGTTTTAGTGGATGAAAGGTACATAAATAAAAGAGCATAAGAAAAGTTGGACTGAAAAATTCCAAATATTGCAATTATTGTTAAATTTCCTTTCCCTCATTATTCAAATGGTGCTCTAAAGAGGTTGCTACTAAGCCATGGGCATCAGCTATCCAAACCCTGCTGCTACACCTTACCAAAAACATGACCCCTACACCATGTTTACATTCCTTATTTGCAAGTGTACTAAATCATACTTGGTATCACACCAAAAGTAGACGGAATGAAGAAATCAGAGTTAGCCATCACCTCTACACCCAGAGTAAAGATCATCAACCAAACAGGTTTTATTAAAGAACTTCTTCTCCAACTTTATCAGCAATCAACATCTAATATGCAGTCCAGAGAGGCAATATTGGAAAGCTTCACGATTCCAATATAGAGAAATAGAAAGAGAATAATGAGAAGAGGTATTAATAAAATGCCCAGGATTACCTGGGATTTACAGGTCCAAACCATTTAAAGTTATTATAAAATATTTAATTTTGCAACTGTTTAGACGTTCAACATTCACATTTGTAAGTGACTTGGCAAATCAGCCAAAACATATATGGCCACATTATGATACAAGTCAATGTTGTTTAAGAGCATTTTATGCAATATTTTTCAATCTACCAACCAGAAAAGGAATATGAGAAAAATCTAAAAGAACCAACTCTTCCAAAAGTCAATAAAACACCAAAGTGAGGAATTATACCCCTACTGAAAAAAAAAAGATTCTGAGCAGCTGATTTCCTGATACCTGCTATAGTGACATCAGTTTCACATGAGATTATTAAAATGCTGCCATATCAAAGACCACCAAAAGAAAAGGGAGCAGCAACCACTTGACCTTAAAATTCAGAAAAGATCACAGATCAAAGATCACACTGGAACCCCATGCAACAAATAGGGCAACGGTTTTCTCTTCTAGATTTCACTGAATCATTTTTGTGATTGATCTTGGGTGATGGCCTTCAGAACATGCTTTGATGGCATAGAAGGCACACACAATTTAAAGATGTTATGATGAATTTGAAGGGAGAATTTCATGTCGAATGGATTAAGGATGAGTAACGAGGACAAACAAGAAGAAAAACTAATTGAAAACATCACTGCTGCTCCAGACTTATGCCTCAGTGGTGATCCTATGATAGAAGGAATGCAAAAACCAGCAAATAAGTTTGCCACCAGGAAGCCGTGAAGTCAGTAAGCAACCCAAGAAGCAGGCCTCAATAAAGAAGTTATCATGCAACACTATAGGCAATAAGTATCTAGGACATAGTGCAAGAAGCAAACTTAGAAGACTACATTGCACTATTACCCAGGAAAAGTGAGAGTAGAATAAAGGACAATTGTTAAAAAGTTTATTATTACATAGGCATCAGATTCAAGCCCCACAAGGTTATTATGCAGTTACTTATAGCCTGTTTAGCAGTCCAAGGATAACATTTGCAGTTGACTGTTCCAGGCCAATAAAATATTATTGGGGTCCAGATTATGTATAAATAAGGCTTCTTGATAACATTCTATTTCTAATAGTGTCAATAAAGCAAGACAGGGGGAAAAAAAGAGAACAATCCAAACAAATAACATAAAGAAGTCAAGGAAACACCAAGCAAACCTAATTTCCCAAATAAAAAATAGATAATCTCAGTATGTGATGTTCTGAAGTCTGCTGTAGTGATATCAGCTTGACATGGATGACAAAAATCTTTCAGAAGATTTTAAAACTATTCTTACAATGTACTAGCTAAGATAAAACTAGCCCAATCCAAAAAAAAAAAAAAAGAAAGAGAAGAAATAACAATAAGGTTCCTTATTCTTACAGGTACCTGTGTGAGAGGTGTCATTTTTATGATCTCTATCCTTTGGAGGAGTAACTCCAGGTAGCGCAACATCTTTGGAGGTAGCTGTAGAATACTCGTTTCCATTGCCCCATTCAGGGGGAATATTATGCCAAACAGACTCTTGGGTTGAGGCTTCAGGTCTGGAGGTCACAGCTGTTCAACGATGATGAAGCAATTGGGAGCTTAGTAACTGCAAAGCCACTAGACACCTTATTCTTGTTATTAATTCCCCTCCCTCTCCCAATACCTGGCCTTGCCCATTAACATCTCTGCAGGCTCTAGAACACAAGAGGAGAAAGGCAGAGAGAGCCTTTTCATCAGATTTACAGCAACACTGGCTGACGCAGATGATTAATTTACTCTGGGGCTTAACCTGTCCTCTCTGATTATGGATATGGAAGCAGGAAGGGGGAAAGCAATGTACCAGCTTCCATTTGAAACTCAAGTTTCTCTGAATCCCTGAGTTCAAGTCGGTGAAACAGTCGGAACAGCTCTCAAACAGCAGCACACTTCACTGGACCTACACAACCAGATCACACCACATGGTGATAAGAAATGGAAGTCTTAGGTTCCTGGCAATGCAGGAAAAATTCATGGCATTTAGGAGTCACTGGGCTAGGACTGTACTCACAGGGTAACCTGACCAAAGAGGGCATGTCAATTTTCTTTGGCTTAAGTGAATCCCTATCTGCCTCAGAATAAAAATAGCATGATAGCAAAAGATTTATCAATTACTATAATGCGTGGAGCCACAAATCATTATGCTTGGGAATCCTGTTTACCACTATTCAACCACTTCTTCTCACAATAAAGCAAAAAGGCAGAGGAAAGGCCCATAAGAATAACCCATGGTCTTCCTTCTCCTCCTTCAATAAAGTAATGGAAAAGTTAATGGAGACAGGATTTTTTTCTTTAGCTGATTCCATGCAATGAGGTCTAAATGAGGCTTAGTAGCAAGATATTGAAATACATCTAATAGTAAAAGAAGCCAAATTCAGAAGAAATAATGTCTCATTTCACACAGGGTGGTGAAATGACCACAGTCCATTATTCTTACTGGTACCCATATGAGAAGATTCACTTCCTTCTTCATTTCCATTTGATGGAGCAGTTTCATGTGACACATGCTCCCTCGAAGTACTACTGGAAGGTTTGGCCTCAGGTCCCCATCCTGGTTTATGAGCTGGTGTCAGAGAATCTTGGGTTGTGTCCTCAGGTTTGGCATCAGTGAAGAAAACCGCTGTTGCGATGATGGTTGAATGAAGGTGAATTAAATATCTGCAGAACCATCATGCCACCTATAATTCTTTCACCCTTAATTCTTCTGTTTACATTTCACTATTATCTTTTACAACATTTCAACTGTTTTTAGAGCATAAAATGTGGGAAAAGGAAGGAAGGGCTTTTTGTGCTCTTTCACACTATTCAAGGTTTCTCAATTCCTTAAGCAACACTTTTTTTGCTGATTTCAGGCTATGGCATTATTGAGAAGAGTCCAAGTGACAATGCCCACAGAAGAAAGACCAAAAGAGAAGAAAGAAGAAGCTACTTGATTCGAAAACTCAGAAGAGATCAGAGCTATGGTGCTTCAGAATCACTTCCAACGGCAATGATTTTTCCTTTGAGATTTCATCAAATCAATTTTGCAACGTACATGATAGCCTTTAAAACATGCTTGGGTGATATGGGACGCATACACAATATGGAAGTTGTAATGAATTGGAATGGAGAATTTCACATCAATTGCAACATTTCCATCCCTCATTGTGCAAACAGTACTCTAAAATAAAAAAAGTTTGCAGGTGAGATATGGGGACAAAGCAAGGGAAAAGAGTCCTCAATGCTGCACCAGACTAACATTCTCTAATTGCAAGTACACAAAAACATAAACTCAGTGGTGATCGTATGATAGTTAGCAGGAATAAAGGAATCAGAAAGCGAGTTTACCATCACCCAGATGTACACCTTACATACAGATCAGCAAACAACCCAAGACCCTTATTAAAGAAGTCATCATGCAATAAGCATCTAATACAGAGTACAGAGAGGCAAACTAGAAAACTACATCATACCAATTCCAAGAAATAGAGTATCAAGAGCGGTGATAGTTAAAACGCTTATTAGTACCAAGGGAAACTCAGATTCAAATGCTACAAGGTTATTATGAAACAGTCTACTTGGGACCTATTTAGAAGTCCATGCTCCACATTTGCAGGTGCCCAGTCCAATCAAATTAACTTACAATTTAACTTAAATAAATGTAATCCAGTAACACAGGGTAAAAATAAGAAAAAATTCAAGCAAATAACTCCCAAACACTGAGGAAACAGCAAAAGAAACAACATTTATCAACTAAAAAAAAATTTAAATCCCGGAATAGCTTGTTTCCTAAGACACAGTGAAACCAACTCAGTGAGACGGATGAAAATTTATCAAGAGGTTTTCAACTTACTGTAACTGTGACATAGCTCAAATAAAGTATTAAAAACATCCTATCCAGAAGGAAAAACATCACAGTTCATTATTCTTACAGGTACCTGTATGAGAGGTGTCATTGTTATGATCTCTTTCTCTTGGAGGAGTAACTCGAGGTAGCGCAACATCCTTGGGGGTAGTTGTAGAATACTCATTTCCATTGCCCCACTCAGGGGGAATAGCATGCCAAACAGGGTCCTGGGTTGAAGCTTCAGGTGTGGAAGTCACAGCTGTTACAGTGATAATGAAGCAACTGGGAGCTCAATAACTGTAAAGCCACTAGACACCTTATTCTTTCCATTAGATTTTTTTTTCCCCACCCACACACCTGGCATTTTCTTCACCATACCTTGGTAAAAAGGCCAAGCAGCACAAATTAATACTACCTTTGTCACAGCCACAAGCTTTGGGCATTTGGGATGCAAGAAGAGGCATGGATGTCTGTTTTCTTGACCTTTGTGATACGACAGAAGGTATTATCCTTTTCCACCCTCAGGTTTCTCTCAGTCCCTGAACCCAAGTCAATGGAACCAGCCAGAATAGCTCTCACACAACAGCATGCTTAACTGAACCTACTCAGCCTACTCAGATCACACCACCATTAAGGCATCATGACAAGAAATGGAAGGCTTAGGTTCTTGGCAATGCAGGAGAAAGTCATGGCATTTAGGAACCACTGGGTTAGGACTGCTGTACTTGCAGGGCAACTTGACAATTGAGGGCATGTGGGATGTCTTTGGTTTAAGTGAATCCCTGGCTGCCTCAGAATAACAATAGCATGATAGCAAAAGATTTATCAATTGAATATAATGCTTGGACCCACAAATAATTATACTTGGGAATCTTGTTTACCACTGTTCAACCACTTCTTCGCAGTATAAAGCAAAAAGGCAGAAGAAAAGCCCATAATTGTATCCTCTCCACCATCCTTCCATGTCCAAAAAGAAAAAAGGAATGGAAAAGTTAATGGAGACAGGAATTTTTTCTTTAGCTGATTCCATGCAATGAGATCTAACTGAAGCTTAGTAGCAAGATGTTGAAATAGGTCTAATAGCAAAAGAAGCCGTATTCAGAAGAAATAATGTCTCATTTCACACAAGGTGGCGAAATGATCAGTCCATTATTTTTCCTGGTACCCGTATGAGAAGATTCACCTCCTTCTTTTTTTCCATTTGGTGGAGTAGTTTCATGTGATACATTCTTCCTCGAAGTACTAATGGGATGTTTGGCCTCAGGTCCCCTTCCTGGCTTATGAGCTGGTGTCGGGGAATCTTGTGTTGAGCTTTCATCAGTGGAGACAACATCTTTTATGATGATGGTTGAGTTTACTGTATATGTAATATTTGTAAAATTACCACCTACAATATGTTCATCCTCAGTTCTTCTTTCAACATTTGCTCATCATCTTTTACAACACTTCCACCATATTTAAAGTAGAATGAGAGAAAAAAGGGGACTCTTTCTTTTAATTTATACAGCTTTTGTGGGGTTTTTTCATGTTTTTAACCCATACTTGCTCAGGGGTCTGGAGTAGAGACAGCGGGCAGAAAGGAAAGAGTATGAAAAAAGCAGGTTGCAGCAATGCTTTGACCTTGTAGCTTAAGAGTGATCAGAGATGGAATATACTGGCACCATATACAACAACCATGGTAATGATTTCACTTTTGAGATTTTATTAATTGAGATTTCATTGTGCTTTCATTATGTCAACACTGATTTACATAGTGGCATTCTTTAGAACATGACGCAGTGCCGTGAAAAGGCATGTATATCGTAAGAGACTACGATCAATTAGAATAGAGCTGTGGTTCTCAACCAGTGTTCTTGGGTACCTGGAGTGCTGGGATCCTCCTCTCATAGGTGCTATGGCAGTGGCCAGGTAAAACTGTCCCATGTGGCAAGCTTGGCTGTAGCCCTTTCTGATCTGGTCCCTTCCACCTACATGCCTGTTTCCAGGAGGAGCATAGGAGAGGCTAGACTGGGAAGAGCTACCCAGCACTAGGCAGCTCCTGCCTGCTTTAGACTGATCACAGCCCTAATGCAGCAGCACTGTGCACACATGCCACAGCCCTTCCCAAGATGGCTGTGCAGTAGTCTCGTGGACCAAATGTATCTGGAGACAGCAGAACCTGGTTGTGAAGCACAGAGGTAAGTGGAGGCAGCACCAACAGTGGTTCTTAACTGGGAATGCCGCTACATTTTAGAAAGCGGTGGAGCGGTGCCCTGACCTTGGAAAGATTGAGCCCCACTGGAATTGAGAATTCATGATATTCATGATACTACAATTACTGTGAAACCCTCTGTCCTCATTAGCCAAAAAGCACTCTTGTATGAAGTGATTGCTGCTGAGCTACCAGGACATACAGTCAGAAATTCTCAGTGAAAAATACCACCACTCACCAGATTTACATTTCTTAATTGCAAGCACACCAAGGTTAGTCGGAATAAAGGAGCTAGTAAATGAGTTTGCCACCACCAAGCTATCCACCTTGCAAAATGACCAGCATACAGCCCAATAAGCATGCCTTACTAAAGAACTAGCTGACAACATTACAGTGATAAGCATCTAATACAAAGTCAAGAGAGGGAAAATTGGAAAACTCCATCACACCAGTACTCAGAGACTGACAAAGTAGTGAAAACAGCCGTTGTTATAATATCTAGTAGAACCTATTCAAATCATACAAAGTTATGAATTAACTTGAGAACTATCCACTAAATACATTTGCAATTTACCAGTCACACCAAATAAAAGATTAGTGGCAAAATTAAGATATAAACCAGGGGCAGGAAATTATTTTGGGCAGAGGGCTGCTTACTGAGTTTTGGCAAGCCATTAAGGGCTGCATGACAGGCAGCCCAGGGCAGATTAATATTCATTTTCTAAATTTTTTAGGGGCCCCATGGGCCGGATAAAATGGCCTGGCAGGCCGCATCCAGCCCTCGGGCCGCATTTTGCCCACCCCTAATATAAACCAAGCCTTTTCTTACAGCATTGTATCTGTAATAAGTATTAACCCAGAAACAAAGAGGGGAAAAACAAGGGGAAAAAAATCTTAATAATGCCCCTGACAAAAGTCAGAAAACATCAAAACAAACAATTCCATAATATGGAACAAATTTCTGTTACACTGATTTCCTATAACCAGAGGTTGTGACATCAGGTTGGCACATATTGCTATAATTCACCAGAAGATTTTTAACCTATTGTAGAAGAATCACTAACATAAAGAACTGAAGTCATCCCAAACATAACAGAGAAGTAATAACAATACTGAGCAACAATAATGAACAATAGTTCATTATTCTTACAGGTACCTGTGTGAGAAGTGTCATTTTTATGATCCCTTTCCCTTGGAGGAATAATTCCAGGTAGAACACCATCCTTGGGGGTAGTTGTGGAATACTCATTTCCAGTTCCCCGTTCAGGGGGAATACCATGCCAAAGCGACCCTTGGGTTGAGGCTTCAGGTTTGGAGGTCACATCTGTTACAATGATGATGAAGCAATTTGGAGCTTAATAACTGTAAAGCTGCTAGCCACCTCATTCTCATCATTTGTTTTTTTCTATCTATACCTGTCCTTTTCCAGTTAACGTTTTGCAGAGGTCTTTAATCATGACAGCATGTTCCACTTCAGCATGGGCTTTCTCAGCTGTTTAGTCAACTCTACCTGAAAACTGGGGATTAACACATTTTCTAGGAGTATCTAGGTAGAAGTGGGAAGGGGGAAAGCAGCAATACGCACTTTCTGTTAGATCTCAGTTTTCTGTTCAATCCCTAAACCTCAGACAAGGGCATGTCTACACATGTGCTTTAATTCATATTAAAGTGTCAAGTAAAAACTGTGTAGTTACACTAATGCACAGTAAAATACTCTACTGCACATTAAGCGTCAATTAAAAACTGTGTACATTTGTTACTGAACATTAAGGCAACCAAATGAGCATTTGTTTTCTATGTCACAATGGAGGGCATTTGTACACATGATTGCATCACAGTGCTGGATACTTTTAAAAGTGCCTGGCACCCCAATGCATGCAATTGTATAAGTGGCAAAATGCACATCAGCACTGAGAAAATGGCAGCAGCTGCTTTTGAATTAGAAGGCATTGGAGGGGTTTTAGTTCAAAAGTGCACCACCGCCATTTTCTGCACACTGATGTGTATTTCGCCATTTACAAAACAGCAGCGCACATCAACTCACGTGTGGAGAAGACTTGATTAATCGAGTCTGCTCCAACCTGCTGGAGCTCTGGCACATCATGGGATGAAAAGGTATGTGTATAAATGCCCAGAGGTACTAAATTTAATGTGCATTTAGGTAATGCACATGTAGATGTACCCTGGGAGTAGCAGTCAAAATAGCTACCCAACAGCAGCAGTCTCTCATTGAATTTATATTTCCAGATTACAACTTAATTAAAGCAATGACAAAAGAAATTCTTAGGTTCCTGGTAATGTAGGAGAGAAGTCAGTTTCGTCATAAAATAAAATCACTGACCATATAATCCAGACAGTGCTCTTTACTATGGATTGTAGTCACACCAAAGGACTAAACATTTAGGAAAGGTTATAAATAATACATTACCAACAGATTCACCTCCCCAAATTTAAACTCTGTTAAAACTGAAAGAAAACTATAACTATATTAAATTAGGATAAGGGAAAGATCAAGCTGCATAGCTTGAAATATACTTAGTAAACCTTTCTATTTTATATCACAGAAGGAACAACTAATTGATTCAATAGCAAAATGAGAATAGCCCATCACAGTGATACCAAGAAGGGTACACACTACTGTGAGACACAAGTATTAAGGACCTAGATTTATTTTTGAAACATGGGGGATTATCTTCTGGGGATGTCATTGAAAGCATAGGTTAAATTATTTATCTGATATTTCTGTTAGGCATTTTCATTTGTTAACTGCTAGTAAGGTAAAAAGCAATTCTTCTGAAGCAAGAATGTGCATGTCTTATCTAAGCTGCAGGAAAGAAGCAAGACTATCTTCCAATACAAAGACCTAGTAGTTAAGAAACCAAACAAAAAGAGCTCACAACACAGCCAACTCATTTCTTATTTCCTGTGGTATAAATGAAATGTTTTCACTATGTGCCTCTAATATTTATCAACAACAGAATAAAAAATAATATAACTCAGATATAGAAGGACTAATGTAATCCAAAAATAGAAGCTAAAATATATGTAATTCATTTTTATTAAAGGTACCTCTATGAGTAGTCTGATCTTCCCTTTTGCTTTCACTTGGTGGTGTAAGATCAAATAGCACATTCTTCTCAATAGTTTTTGTGGGATACTTTTCCTCAGTGCTCCCTCCTAGGTGATCCACAACAGATGGTGGAACTTGGGTTGAGTGTTCATGTAGGGAACCATCAATGGAAATCACAGCTGCTACAATGATGGTTGAATTAAATGTGAACTTATGTTTTCAGAACCACCACCTACACAAGTTTCATCTTCATTTTCTGTGCTGTTCAGAACAAGCTTTGCTCTTTAACATTTTTTATTTAGAATATAGGAGAAGACTAGGAAGAAGAGTTCTTTGCTTTGTTCCAATGCAGTTTTGACCTCAGCGAACAGGATGATTCCATTATGTAAATACAGCAACAACAGTAATATTTTTTTTCATTTAAGATTTCACTGCCTTGTATATGTTACAGTAACTCATCTCCAAACAGACAGACTCCAACTATGCACTGGAGAAAATATCCTTCACTGGCATGAAAGACATAAATATACCACACACGAAAGATGTATGGTATGTTGGAAACATACTACTGCTGTGATTTAATAGGAAATCTATTGCCTAAATCGTCTAAACAGTGGTTTATTATAAGAGGATTGCTGCCATACCACAGAGACAAGTTGATGGAAAAGCTAATCAATAACCCATCAGCAGTCCACCAAAGGTGCAGACAGACATGCAAGACCCCTGTTCTAACTCATGGCACTTTAAGCGCCATGAGTTAAAGCACCCCTCCACAACCCAATAGACATTTGCCTGTTGGGTTGAGGGGGTGGGGGGAAGATGGAGCCTGTCTCTGGAGCCCCTGCAGTGGAGGGGCCACCCCCCTCCCCCAGCCCCACCGCCTACTCTCAGCTCCACTGCTGTCTGCAAGATGGGAGTGGGGAGAAGGGAAGAGGAGTGAGCTGCAGGCTGGAGTTTGTCCAGCCTGAGCTGGAAGAGGAGGGCAGGGTGGGGGGACTATGAGGCAGAGGGGCTCCAGTTCACCAGCCCCTCCCTCCCTCCCCAGCTCAGGCTGGGCAAACCCCAGCTTGCAGCTCACTCCTCCTCCCTTCCCCCTCCCTTTCTGCAGACAGCCCCAGGAGTGAGGCTGTGTGACTGCACCAGAGATTGACCCTAGGGAACAGAAGTAGAGTGCCTTCTCTTTTGTAGAGTGCCTTCATCTCATCTCTCATTTGATGAGGATTAATATGTAATGTGATCAGACACTTCTAAAGCACTCAGCAGCCATACACGTGATCATACAACAAAAGTAACTTCTGTCTACACCTCAAATGTATATTCCTAAACCACAGTTTTACCATAACAAAACCCAAGGGTGATATAATAAAGGCTAACGTGAGCCCAGGTGAAAGAAGTTTGACTTTGGGACCACAAACAAATACCCTTATCATTTTTGGAGGATATGGAGGATTTTTTCTTAGTCACCTATTAGCAGTTATTGTGAAATTTAACTTTTGAATGCCACTGTATATTTTAGTGTTAACATGTATAAATTGCATTGAGAGGACCGCTCTTGACCTGTGAATAAAATAAGAGATTTCTATATTGCTGTTAATGCTATTTACAATAAACTAACAGTAAAGGAGAGAGGGAGAAATGCTAAGAAATAAACCAAGCTGTCATGAAAGTATTCCTAAAAATTCCTCTCCATATAATGTAGGGAGACTGAATTAACTAATGCCTGGCATTTGGAATATGATATTTCCATTGCAACCTATTTTAGTCAAATGTATGAATAAGTTGAAAGGTTAAAGAATGGCATAACTCATTTGAGATGGAAAGCTAAATTAAGGAGTGTAGTATACTATTTGTATAGCTGGTACCTGAATGAGAAGTTTCATTTTCTTCATGTTCACTCATATTTGGAGGAATAAGTCCATGTAGCATGCTATCCCCAGTGGTATTTGCAGGATATGTATCTTTACTGTCCCATCCTGATTCAAAAGGGGACAGTGAGCTAGGGGTTGAGCCTTCAAGTTTGTCACCCTCACTTGAGTCTTCTGCTGTTAAAATAGTGGTTTTATGAATTGAGAACTTATTATTTACGCATCCATTATGTATATTATTCTCACCTTCATTTTCTTTCTACCAAAGACCTCTTTTTGTTGTATTTTGGCTGTGGTTCAGCAATCATTTTAACATATGCTTAATGACTTCAATGAGCTTAAATTTAAAAATGCTCTTTAGCATTGTTTGAATTGGAGCTTTACAGCATAAGAAGAAAAACTCAAAGATGACGTTACATTCTGTATTGATCACTGTTGCTGTTTTCATCTTTCTAAATAAGGCTCTGTAGCTTTTCTGAAGCATTTTTTAAATAGAAAACTAGTGACAATGGAGATAAAAGTAAGAGTGGAAATGAGTAGCAATGGCAACTTGCCTATATAACTCAAATGTGAACCTGGCCACATGACATAAGTATTCTGCTCCTTCAGTGTGACAGTGATGAATACATTTGCTTATTAGAGATTTTGCTGCTTCATTCAAGTTGTAGTGCTTCTTGTCTGATAGGGAAATGTTGACAACTGCCTTGAGATAGTCTATTTCTTTTGCATTCTCTTAAATGTATGATTATTTGAATGTATTCCCTGAAACATTTAAACTCATACTCTTCAATTATGAAAATGCATATGTAACACTTCTGAATGACAAATTAGGCCATACAGATAAAAATATTTAAATAATTGCTGACTCTAAGTGATGTGGTATAAGCCATTCAGGCTAAAGACTGAAAGAGCTACAGAAAACTGTGCTAACTTCATCCAAGAACGATATTTTATGAGCTATAACACAGGTAGAAGTAAATCGTCCTAATAGTTTTTCTGAGCTTAAAAAGCAATGAATCTATGCATAAAACAGTTCTAACAATGCTAAGATAATACAGTACCTAGATACAAATCTTTAATGAAAAGTGTATTGCACTTGAAGCTTTCCCCTTTGATGCCACTCACATGGTGTCAATTTCAGAAAAAAAAGCATTTTTACCATTCCAGAACAGGAAACTATGAGGATGTTAGCGAGCTTCTAATGCACATCCAAAGGGATGGTGCAGTGCATACAATAGCACTAACTGCCATACTGCATGAGTCACACTCCATCTTCCAGCTTCCCCCTCAACTCCCAATCAATGAGTAACTTCTATCTCTATAATCTAGTTCTCAGTGGTAACCAGATAAAAAGACAGGCTCAGGATCTGTATGTATGTATGGTGTATCCATATGCAGATGGCAGAATAAGGAGCAACAATCTCACGTTGCAGCAAGGGAAGTTTAGGTTAGATATTAGGAAGAATTTTCTCACTAGGAGGGTAGTAAAGCACTAGAGCAGGTTACCTAGAGAAGTGGTGGAAGCTCCATCCTTGGAGGTTTTTAAGACCCGGCTAGACAAAGCTTTGGCTGGGATGATCTAGTTGGGGATGGTCCTGCTTTGAGCTGGGGCTTGGACTAGATGATCTCCTTACATCCCCTCGAACCCTAACTTTTGATTATTCTATCTAAAATGTATGGCTTTGTTTTTAATGGGCGAATATACCTAAAAACTTTCAAAATCCACAGCTCATATGCACTTGACATTTAACCATACTGTAACTCAAAACTTAAACATAAGGGGACAATATTTCTTTCGTTTACTCAGGAGTAACTATGCCCTAGCCTAATAGATGGGTTGGTATTGTCCCAGAGTTTGTTGGACTCAAAATAGTTTTAATGCCACAGAAAATGAAACCACTCCCATGATCTGACTTAGTGACTCATACTAATACCTGTAGAAGAATGTTCACTTTCACTTGGAGGAGAAATTCCAGATAGCACATTATCCTTAGTGACATTTGAGAGAGAATGATCTACAACATTCCTTCCAGGATGAATGCCATGAAACAATGGATCTTCGGTTGAATCTTCAGGTTCTTTTTCTTTACTGGCGATCACTGTTATGATGATGTTTGAATCAAATGTGAACATAACTTGCAGAATCATCATTCATATTATTACCTTATACTCTTTCTCTCTACGTAATAACTCCTGTTCCTTTACTGTTGCATATAGTGTAGAAAATGAGAAAAGAAAAGTAGCCATACATCTTTTTCCTCAGCATCCCGATATTCTGTTTCTGATAAGTACTGCCCTAATCTTCAGAAAGCAAGTTTACTGGAGAGTGTCCACATGACAGAAGGCAATTGCAGAAAAGGTTATGGTATCCACAATAGAAGAAAAACTAGCAACAACAACTTGCATCTCTAATTCATCTTTGATAGATACCAATTAACCCACAGAGCCTGTAGCTTCTGGATTCATACATGTGGAAGTAATAATTAACTTTCTCTTTTGAGGGAGTATCTCTTTGCTTAATTGTAGACTTAGCTCCAGGGAAGTTGCCTTTGATTGTGGGAGTGCTACAGCATACTTTGGCTGGATAATTATAGTAGATGTGTAAACATATATGAAACTGAAAAGGCACATTTATGTTGATATTTTGGCATGTAA